TATATATAAGTAATTATAATGTAGTACGCATTATATGTATACTATAATGCATTCTATATTATATATATTATATTATATATTATAATGTATATTATATATATATAGTATTAAGTACGTAGTATGTACTCTTATAAATTATATATTATATATATTATATATAGTATAAGAATAGATTATACTATGTATATAAAAGAACTAATTATTAGATAATATTAAATAATTAATATAAAAATATTATAAAGATGTAACTAAAATATGAGTGTAAAATATGCCCATCAGGAGTTGGTTATGAACGAGCTACATTCGGGTCTCTGTTCATCGCATCAAGGAGGGCGGTCGCTGGCTCGTCGCATAATGGTGATCGGATATTACTGGCCGTCTATACAATTAGACTGTGAGAAGCTCGCTAAAGGCTGTGAGACGTGCCAGCTCTATGCCCGGATGCCCGGTCGTCCTGCAACATTCTACCAGCCGGTCACGACTGCAATTCCATTCGCTCGTGAGGGGTGGATATTTTAGGGCCCTTCCCGTAGCTATATGGACGTCGGCGTTTTGTCATCGTCGCTATAGATTACTTTTCCAAGTGGATTGAGGCTGAGCCCTTGGCCACGATCACATCCCAACAGTGCGCTCGTTTCATATAGCGAAATGTCGTTTCTAGATTCGGCGTCCCTGTACAACTGATAAGTGATAACGACCGGCAATTTGTGGGTCGGTATTTCCAAAACTTCTTGGTGACGATTGGGACAACCTCGATCCGATCATCGGTGGCTTACCCTCAGGGGAATGGTCAAGTGGAGAATGTCAATCGAATCATCCTAGAGGGATTAAAGAAAAAATTACATTCAGCCGGTCGTAGCTGGGCCGAAGAGCTCCCGTTTGTACTTTGGACATATCGTACAACGCCCAGAGAGGCAACAAGAGAAACTCCTTTTGCATTAGTTTATGGCGCTGAGGCTCGGTTGCCAATCGAAGCTTGGATCCCGACGGTCAGGGAGCGGTCTTACGATGCAATGGATAACAAACACTCTCTAGCCGTGGACCTAGATAGCATGGAAGAAAAAAGGGAGATCGTTGCTAAACGAATGGCCGAGTATCAACAGAGAGTCAAGGGCACCAAGGATGTCCGGGTCCTACCACGCTACTTCCAGGTCGGGGATTATGTGTTACGACGACGGGAAGCAAGCTAACCCCTTGAAGGAGGCAAGTTGGCCCAAAATTGGAAGGACCGTATGTGATCACATCGATCGTTCGCCCGGGCACTTACCTTTTTGAAACAACTACTGGGAGGTCGATCGACGGAACGTGGAACTCGGAAAATTTAGTGTTATTTCGCCAGTAACGTTGATGTTTTGTTCAGATGGGGTGGTGCTTAACCTGCGAGTGGTACGCCCATCTTTTTTCATGTACAAGTGAATGTTTAAGTGTTCAAACCGTCTGCGTACGGGGCTTAGTTATGTATAATCGATCGTTGAGTGCTTGCTCGTCTGCGCACGGGGGCGAGGTTGATTACCGTAATTTGTAAATAGTGTGTTGGTTGTCAATCGATTCCAGAGTTCGATCTTCAGCGTGATTCAAAAGACTTGCAACTCTCAAGACTCGGCAACAACGACCGAAATGTCGCTAAAACTTGCCTGATAAAACCGGGATCCATTATCCGCTTATAATCGATGAGGGTAAAGGCCCCGTTCGGCACGGACCGATAAGGTTAAAACCCAACGACTTTAAAAGTCGCTCACATTTCACCCGAGCAGTTCACAATACTCGACGGATAGGTCTCATGTCCGGCGAACAGTCGTACTACGACGTCGACCGGATAAGACATGTCAAGCGGTATACACCTGATCGATCCTAACGCTAACTAACCTTTTAACCACTGTCGCACTCACTCGTCCCTCGTATGTCCGGTAGTGTGGGGCTAGGGGTAAGGGTCAAATCTAAACACGCGTAATGAATAAGCATAAAATGTTAAGTTTGAACACGTGTAACGAGCAAGCATAAAATGCTAAGTTTAAACCAAGCATAGCGAACACGCATAAAATGTGAAAACGAGACAAAAGCTTATATATGCGAAAAATAGAAGAGCGATATGCAATGAACAATCGGTCGATCCATTTAATTAAAAACGATGCAAGGCCCTAGGGTCGGCCGGTCGTCAATCACGCGGCCTTCCCTCCAGCTTGTTCTCCCGCAGCTGGCTCAGCTTCAGATCCCGACGCGGATGACTCGGTAAAGGGCGTGGGCCCGGGGGTCGGGGATCTTGTCCGGAAGAGTGGTCAACACTTCTTTCAGATCCTCGCCTCGAAGACCTCCTCCATTATAGTTCGGGTCTCGTCCCGCATCGCCCGTTGACCGGACGCGTAGGCCCAATGGCCGAAGGTCTAGACCTTTTCTTCCCCGAGCTTGTTCTTCATGAGGGCTCGGAAGGACTTGTTAGCTGAGGGTTCGTCACGGCATAAAAACTTGGCCAGGCCATCCAGGTTGCCCAGTCGGGTCTTCAGCTCGGCCCGCTTCTGTTTCGGGCGATACGCGCCTCCTTCTCGGCCGCCGCTTGAGCCTCCTTAGCGGTTTTTAGTTCCTTCTGAAGGTCGGGGATTTCCTTGGCACGGCGCTCGGCGACTCGCTTTAAGGAGGGGCTTCATTGGCCAGCAACACCCGATACTGAAGGCCGAGGAGTGCTCGCGAGGCCTGCAAGAAAATGATGTTAAGCTAATCGATCGGCTCGAAAATGGTCTAAATTTAAAATATAGTCTTAACAAACCTCGACTAAGTCTCGTGCCCCTTCTCAGCCATCTGGGTCGGCGTCCATCCGGTTATGTCCTCCCCGATCGGTTGGAGATTGTTGATCCTCGCGAAGAGGGACAACTCCCTGCCCGTCTGTCCGCCGTTCGGGACGACTTCGGCCGGGGGGCTTTGCCTTCGGTGATGCTTAAGAGAGCCCGCCTCTTCTGCCGTCCTTCCCTGACGCTTTCTCTTTTCCCTTCCGTCCGGGAGCTCGGGGGGCCAACGGGTCGCCGCGGCGTCTGCGAGCAGAACCCCATCGGAGGTGGTCGTGGAAGCGGCCAAGGGACGCGTAATCGGGATGGAGGCGTCACCGACCTCTTGACCGGCCGGTGGAGCAGTGGCAGTTTCCTTTTCCCCCAAGCGTCAGTTTGGCTCAGTGGGCTCGAGGAGCACTGACGGTCGGAAAACCACGAGCTGGACCCATTCCTTCAACAAAAAATAACACACAACATTAGATCATTGTTAGTCGGTGTAAAAAGGCCGAGGAAGTGTAACGGGTGGTAGACCTTCGACGGTCGGCTCGGCTTGAGGGGCCGCTACGGCGATCGACACCGAAAGCGGTCGTGGCGTGTACTTCAGTTCTAAGTCATATTGGGGAGGCGGCAATCGGGCATTCTCGTACGGCTCTCTCGATCGAAAGATCTTGTACTTGTGAAACTCGCAAGAAATGCGGAAGGTTGCTTCTCGAAGGGCTCGGGTGGCTGGTGATTGTACTTGTTTCCTGTAATGTGTCCCCCACGTTCGGTCGACCGGCAGGATCCAAGGGTCGTATTAGACCGAAAAGATTCTGTTCTTCCATCCTCGGTTGTTTCCGGGAAGGTTGGCGATCGAGCATAGGTGGTCTCGGGATTGAATCATCAGGTATCCACCACCGTATAGGGCTGGAAAGGGTTTAACTATGTAAATATAGTTGAAGAGCTCCATCGTACACATGGAATTGTGCCGAGCACATATATGCGGGAAGCATGCCAGTATCCAATAGGCGTTCGGGCATATCTGGACCGCCAACACCCGGTAATAGCCCAAGAACGCGGTCAAGAGGGGGGAAAAGGGGAAGGTGATCGGGGCTCTTAAGGAGTCGAAGTGCATCCCAATCCATTTCCCCTGGTGCCGTTCTTTAATTCCCCCAAGGCTCCTGCAGGTATCGAACCTCACCCGATTGTTTAGTGTGGCCGAGATTTCCGCTGCTTCGTGGGCCCAGTAAGCATTCTTGCTGCTCGACGCTTTCACTGTTGAGGAAGACGAATTCGATCTCTTCAGGCGCCGAGTGGGATGGCCCTTCGTCGGCCGTATCGTGCGAAGCTTCTTGAACGCGGGGCGATACGTGAGCTTCAGAACCGGACCCGATCGTCCAAGTGGGTGTTTCCCGATCGTGATCGGGCGAGGACTCGCGGCCGCTGGTAGATGCCGTTGTCGCTGTCGTCGCTACTGCCGCTCGAGCTCGACGAACTAATCTAAAATCCACAGGACCCCGGCCCCTAAAGTCACTATAGAGGTAAATCGTGAGTCTTATTCTTCATTTACCCACAAGGAATCCAATCCCGATCGTGTAATCAGCCCACCAGGCCAGTCAGATCCTACTTTTCATGTGCACAGTGCACACAAGGGTTCCAATCTAAACCTTTTATCATCTGTGGGCTTTGGGCTGAATTTGAACGCATACACCGCCCCTTGGGCAACATTATTTAACTTTTCAAGTGGCATAATCATCAATCATTATTATGTGGACCATGGTCCACACAAGTTGTGTGGACCATATTTTGTCTACTGTAAAATAATGTACATTCAGTACAAAAATAATCTATATTCAGTACAAAAATAATGTACATTATATTCAGGGGATGTACATTATTTTTGTTCTGAGTGTACATTATATTTTATAATATATATTCAGTACAAAAATAATGTACATTTAGTATATTAAAAATGTACTTTTTGTTATGGTCCACGTAACATTGTTTGGACCATGGTCCATACAATAATTTGCCCATAATCATACGAAACAATTAGAATAGTATAAGAAGTGTGTTTACAGGTAAGCCAAGTCAAGTAGTCCTCAACCTTATATTAGCCATTAACCATTTAATCATTTCTATTGCTATTTAAGCGGGGAATGGCACATAGTCCCTAAACGAAAGTGCAACCATAAATTATTGTTGTAATCTCTATCCCAATACCCTCCAAGACCATCTATATAATGCATTGCTCAACTCCATTTCCCTCAAGCCAACATCGAGGAAACATTATATTGTCTAGCTTGGAAGGGCACAGTACAGTCTTTAATAAAATAAACACACAATAATATAATTATTGTACCCTTTCTTCCCAACATGGATTCTTTAACCAATGTTATGGTTTCCCTTGTGATTGGCAGTCTTTTATGTTTCCTGACGATGGGTTCACCATCCACAGCCTCTCCTTTAAACGTCACGCTAATCCAAAAAGCCTGCAACAATACCGCCGACCACGAGTTCTGCCTCGACCACCTCTCCAAAAACCCCTTAGTCGTGTCGGCATCTCAAGAGCCATTGGCGATTGCCGCTGCGATCGCCCAGTCGGGATTGGACAACGCGGAGCGGACGCGCAAGTACGCGATGAACAAGGTCGCGAGGATCCCCGCCGTGAAGACGGCCTACGCCGACTGCGCAACGCTCTTGGGCAGCACGGCCTTGCAACTCAGTGTGGCCGCCAGCATCCTTAAAAACCCCGCCTCTTTGACCGAGGTGGGCTCCAGCGAAGTCGCTAGTGAATGTCTTCTGACCTCCATTGACGGTGTCGCCGGGTGTATGGCAAAGCTTGGAACCCTCAAAGTTGAGGACCAATATGTTATGGTATCGTGTAAGCAGGTGGAGGTTTACAGCGTCGCGGCCGACTCCATTTTGACCGACTTGATGAAGGTCAATATGAACAACTCATTCGATCATATGGATTGAGCGACGTTGCTACATTCTTGTAATCCATGTACATAATGTGCTGTGGTTCGGTATTATTAAATTATGAATGGAAATTAATTTGCTCCTAATTTAATGGGCAAATTATTGTGTGGACCATGGTACACACAATGTTATGCTGACCATAACAAAAAGTACATTTTTAATATACTAAATGTACATTATTTTTGTACTAAATGTATATTACACAATATAATGTACACTCAGAACAAAAATAATGTACATCTCCTAAATACAATGTACATTATTTTTGTACTGAATGTACATTATTTTACAGTAGATAAAAAATGTTCCACACAAGTTGTGTGGACCATGGTCCATACAATAATGATTGAAATTAATGAGGATCAAGTTCAGTGAAATTGTAAATGTGTTTATATGTCCCTTTAAAAACGAACCTAACTGAATTTATGTCACTTTAAAAACTGAACCGAATCGAATCGAATAAGAGTTTGGAGTTGACACGTCTGTCACTCCCACTCATTAAAATAGTGAAAATTAGTCATAGAAGCATTCCAACAACTTAGAGAACAGACCAAAACTCTTAAGTTCATAAATTTGAAATGTTAGACATACATCATTAGAGTCCATAAATTTGAAATGTTAGACATACATCATAACTTCTCAGGTCCATCTCAAAATGAACTGAACATTATGAGTCCAATCGTTATACCCTACACCACGGCGCACATAGCACTGTGCGCCGCGCGCCTCCCAAATCGACGTCGTTTTGGGGTCGTTTTGGGAGGCGCGGTAGGAAGTTGCTGGGATTATGTGTATTTGTTCACACAGTTATGTGTATTTGTTCACACAGTTATGTGTATTGGTTCATACAGTTTTGTACATTTTTTATATAATTATGTAGATTCTTTTTATACAATTATGTACATCCGAATCAGAAAATTTGTGTGTATTATGTTAATAGTTGATGTGTATTATGTTAAAAGTTTATGTTTATTATGTATTATGTTAGATTATGTGTATTTTCTTTTAAAAAGAGTATGTATATTTTGTTATATAATTATGTACATTCATGTATACAATTATGTGTATTCTAGTATAACATTATGTACATTCTTGAACATCGGGTTTTTTTTTTAAAGAGAAAACTACTGCCATTCACTGGGGCGGGAAATTTCAAAAAAAAAAAATTAAAACGACGTCGTTTTGCATCTGGGCGCATAGTGCAACGCGCGCCGTGGTGTAGGATATAAATTGCCTTATGTTTACTTTTATGTCTCGCAAAATTGTCATGAGCCTTACAAACCAAAATGGCCCACGATCAATTTTGAAGAAACTAAAGATTCTATTAAATATTAAAGAATTTATTTAAATAACGGTGCACCACAAGTTAAATGTTTTTTTTTTGTTCTAATAAACTCTTTAATATTGTTACAACATTTTCATAGATATGTTGCACAACCATAATGTTTAATAATTTGAACTTATATGAATTTATATGAACAAATACAAGATTAAGATATTTTTTGGCGGAAGTTAATGATATATATGTGTGTGTGTGTGTGTGTGTGCGCGCGCGCGCGCTCTCATAATTGATTTGACCAACTAAATAATGAAGATATAATTCCTCACCATTAGTTGGGCATACTAAATAATCAATATTTGGTTCCAATTATAGTCTAACTAAAATAATAAAATACAACTTTTAAAACCAAGTTAGAATTTGGCACAAAAGATACACTTAATCCTTGGAATCCAAAGAGGTATATCATATTACATAACTTAATACTATAGTTGGTCCAAATAACCAAGTAAGTTTCGTGAAACAATTAATAAAGGTGGTAAATTTTGGAAAGGTGGTAAATTTTGGGAAGGTGGTAAACTTGCATTTGGGCTAAAATTTTAATTCTATTAAATCCAATTAAATCCTTATGATAAAATTTTATCTCAATTACTAAATGGACAAAAGAATCTAGTGACATAAAACTCATTTAGATCCAACTGAAATTTTATGATGAAACAATTATCAAATGAGTTGAAGAATCACGTGACATAAAACTTGTCTGTACGCTAAAGTTTTATTCAATAAGATTCATTTCAACTATTATGATAAAACTTTAAAATATCATGTTCCTTTTCTTAATCCATGTAGGCAAATTAAGAAATATAATCTAAAGTTTACATCACAAAATTAAACTTTATGATAGAGATGGAAATTATTTACAAAGAACCATAAAGTAAATAAAATTGATTTCTTTCTATCATCACTGATAAAATTACTAAACTATATTCCGATACATAATTGCATGTGGGCTAAATTATGACCATAGTTTAGTATTTCATCATAATTAATCATACAAATATAACAAAATTGCCTAGGGATAAATTCCATCATATTACATACAATTAATCACAACTTATATGTCTAAAACTTTATGTGATCAATATAAACTGCTTAATATATAATTTTAACTGATTAAGGATGATGTGGCTACTCCCCAACCAAATTAAAATAATAATGATAATGATAATGATAATGATAATGATAATGATAATGATAATGATAATGATAATGATAATGATAATGATAATAATAATAATAATAATAATAATAATAATAATAATAATAATAATAATAATAGGGAAAATTGAATTTTTGGTCCACCGAGTTATATTGATCCCGGTAGGGTCGAAAGAGAGTCTAGAGGGGAGGGGGGTTGAATAGACTCTAATCAATTTTTCAGATATAACTCCTTTCGGGGTTATGCGCAGCGGAAATTGTATCGATCTACGTTTTGGAATGAACTTTACACGATTTCTTTCCGAAAGATTAGGTTATGACCAGTATGCATGCAATCACAGATAGATAGTTATGCGAAAGTAAAGGGAGATAGAGAGAGAGATTTTTATAGTGGTTCCGCTATTAACAAAGTCTACTCCACTCTTCTTTCACAACTCCTGAAAGGGTTTGCACTATCACTCCTAGTATAAACTACTCAAGCTAGTTTCTTTGATCACTAAGTCGGACAGCTACTTGGAAGGTTTTTCAACTCTTAGAGTTTACTCCACTTCTATCAACTTCTTCTTCAGAGTTGAGTGTTGGAGATGAGATAAGCGTTCAATATTCAATTCAAACTGGAATGACAGGAATACAATACAAAAGGCTAAAAAACTCTCGTAAGAGTCTCCTATCTAATAGGATGACTAAAGACTTAATCACCTGTTACATTATTGACTAACATATTACAATAATAAGAATAATAATAATATATATATAACTAACACTCCCCCTCAAACACAAGGTTGGTGAGACACCACATTGAGCTTGTCACGTAGAGCAGTAAACCGTGGACCTGACAAGGGTTTGGTGAAGATGTCTGCTAGCTGATTCTTTGTTGATACGAAGTTAACAACCAAGTCCCCCTGACGCAACCTTGTCTCGAACGAAATGAAAGTCAATTTCCACATGCTTGGTTCTGGCGTGAAACACAGGATTATTGCAAAGGTAGGTAGCGCCCAGATTATCACACTAGAGAGTGGACGCTTCTCCAGTGTGTAGACCAAGTTCTCGAAGTAACGAGACAACCCATGTGACTTCAGCGGAGACAACGGCTAGGGCCTTGTATTCGGCCTCGGTGGACGAGCGTGCAAAAGTGCGCTGTTTTCGAGATAGCCAAGAGACGAGATTGGACCCCAAGAAGACAGCATACCCACTCGTGTTTTTCCTATCTAGCGGACAACCAGCCCAATCGGAGTCAGAGAAAGCGTGAATAGCTGAGGAAGCAGAGACTGTGATTTGCAGACCGTACTCCAGTGTACCCTTGATATACCGAACGACTCGTTTCAGGAGACCCCAATGATCAACTGTCGGCGAGTGCATGAACTGACAGAGCCGATTCACAGCATAAGAGAGATCCGGGCTGGTGATAGTGAGGTACTGTAGAGCGCCCACAATGCGCCTGTATTGAGTCGGATTATCATGTGGCTGATCCGATGGGGAAACTGATTGCGTGACAGCAGCTGGAGTTGCCAAAGGTTTGCAGTCAGTCATACCGGCACGATTTAGGATATCCTTCATATAATGCCGCTGAGACAGCATAATCCCAGCTTCAACCTGTAGTATTTCAATCCCGAGAAAGAACCCAGAGGGAGCCTAGGTCATGGATCTTGAACGCGGTAGAAAGCCGATGCCATAGAGTAGAAATAAGAGGCGGGTCATTCCCCATCATGATAATGTCGTCAACGTACAAAAGTAAGTAAACCTTAGACGAACCGGCAGAGTAGTGGAATAGGCTGACATCGGTCTTGGACGGCATAAAACCTGGAGATAGTAAGAAATCATGTACTCTCTTGAACCAAGCCTATGGAGCTTGTTTGAGACCGTATAGAGACCGCTGCAGATGGCACACGTGATCTGGATGTACCGGATCCTCATAGTCGGGTGGTTGTTTCATGTACACTGTTTCGGCCAATTGCCCATTGAGAAAGGCATTGTGGACATCTAACTGCCGCATCGTCCA